TAAGTTTACAGACCCTGCAGGGCTGGAGAACAGTGTCCAAAGATAATGTCTGTTCTAACCTCTCCTTTGTCTAGCCTATACTTATAAGGTATGCAAAAATATGGGTTGCTCCCTCTGCTGTCCAATCACCTGTCTCCCCTGGGGCGTCACCCTAAAAACGGCTCTTTTGGAACTAAAATAAACATCCCCTCAGGTTCCACTAGAATACATTCACCCAGTCATAATCTTAATACACTACACTAGGTCCATGCATGGTGAGGTGGATGTTCCTGGTCCCGACGATTGCGTACTGCAGATTGAAAAACTCAGAGACATTGGATGTTTTGGATAGCCTTCTCACTCATTTATCAGCTGATAGGTGAGACGAGTTGGTTGGTCTGATTTGGAGTAGGGAAGAGCGGAAGTTGAATCCATCACTTCCGTTGTTTGTCTGTGCCCTTAGCAACGTTCGAAACTGAGGTGGATAATTCAAGGGTTGTTTAAAATGTCGTTAATTTTACTGTTAAAAAATAAAAAGAATATTAAGAGTTCTAAACAAGGGGGAGGGGGGGGACTGCAGCAATGAGATTGCAGGATTTCATAACATGATTTTCACAGCACAGAGTAAATGGACCGTCCTGGGGCGTTTAAATGAAAGAGCAGGTCTTCTAGGTCTGCTCTATAGATGCGTTGGCTAACAACGTCATGAAAACGATGTTTGCGCTTCCATGGGGCAGAAGTCAGCCTGTTGTGTTTCTGGATGGCCAGATTGCTGGCAAGAATGACAACAAACTCCCATGTGGGGAAAAAGAAGTGGCTAATTTCAGCTTGTTATTGATACCATGTCTTGTTTTGAGGTGTTTTGACTGATTTCATGTCAATGTAAATATGGCTTATATTCGCTAGCTAGCTAACCATCATCCGTAACGATGTATTTGAGAGACAACAAGTGGTCATTGTGCAAATGTATTAATGTTTTTAACAATCTAAGCCAACCTCCTCTGTATTGCCACATGGTTGCATGTGCATCGTTTTGGTTGCTAAACAACCAACCCGTCTATCAGGTACTGAGCAGATGGCGCTAAAGAGCAAATTCCAATTAACTTATAAATAATCATGACTGTCATTGGGAGCCTGGGACCTGAACCGGACATCCATCAACAGTCAAAAGGACAGAGATACCATCTAGAACCTCCTTGTGGATCTGGTAGGACAAAAAAAACATGGCTCTGTGCCCAATTCACAACACTTTTTGTTTCCCCTGTTATTAGACGCTAGCTAGTGGACATTATCTACCGCGGTAGCTAGATTTCTAGCTCATATGCCAATCAAGTCTAACTAAACTTACTGGTGAACGTATCATGTTTGACATTATTCTATCCCCAGTTAGATCAGAGGGTAGTGCGTACGGCCTAGTACATCACTGGGGCCAAGCTTCCTGCCATTCAGCCACCCTAATCATACTGTTCTCTCTGCTACCTCACAGCAAGCGGTACCGGAGCGCCAAGTCTAGGCCCAAAAGGCTTCTTAACAGCTTCTACCCCCCAAGCCATGAGACTCCTGAACAGCTAATCAAATGGCTACCCAGACTATTCTGAACAGGTTGAGAGCTTCAAGTTCCTTGGTGTCCACATCACCAACGAACTATCATGGTCCAAACACACCAAGACAGTCGTGAAGAGAGCACGACAAAGCCTATTCCCCCTCAGGAGACTGAAAAGATTTGGCATGGGTCCTCAGATCCTCAAAAAGTTATACAGCTGCACCATCGAGAGCATCCTGACTGGTTGCATCACTGCCTGGTATGGCAACTGCTCGGCCTCCGACCGCAAGGCACTACAGAGGGTAGTGCGTACGGCCCAGTACATCACTGGGGCCAAGCTTCCTGCCATCCAGGACCTCTATACCAGGCGGTGTCAGAGGAAGGCCCTAAAAATTGTCAAAGACTCCAGCCACCCTAGTCATAGACTGTTCTCTCTGCTACCGCATGGCAAGCGGTACCAGAGTGCCATGTCTAGGTCCAAAAGGCTTCTTAATAGCTTCTAACCCCATGCCATGAAACTCCTGAACAGCTAATCAAATGGCTACCCGGACTATTTGCATCACCATTGGTACCCCCTGTATATAGCCTCGCTACTGTTCTTTTAATAATTTTTATTTTTGACTTATCTATTTTTTACTTAACACTTCTTTTTCTTAAAACTGCATTGTTGGTTAAGGGCTTGTAAGTAAGCATTTCACTGTTGTATTCGGTGCATGTGACAAATAAAATTTGATTTGATACATATCCCCCCTAGATATGCACATTATGTGCCTTTATTTGTCTAATATTTGATTAAAACGGTCTACAACAGATTCCAAGTGAACAAGCAATTCTGGTGTTCTATTGATGGACAGTATTTCATGACACCAAATCATGTTTTTAATTGATTGGTTTTTATTCATTATTGCTATCAATAAGATAGTACACAATGGAAAGGCATTTTTACTTTCAATTTCAACAATTTGCATGATTTCACAATATGTCTGCAAGGTACAATGTACAGTGGGGAGAACAAGTATTTGATACACTGCCGATTTTGCAGGTTTTCCTACTTACAAAGCATGTAGAGGTCTGTAATATTTATCATAGGTACACTTCAACTGTGAGAGACGGAACCTAAAACAAAAATCCAGAAAATCACATTGTATGATTTTTAAGTAATTAATTTGCATTTTATTGCATGACATAAGTATTTGATCACCTACCAACCAGTAGTCTCAAAGAAAACCATTAGTAACACACTATGCCGTCATGGATTAAAATCCTGCAGCGCACGCAAGGTCCCCCTGCTCAAGCCAGCGCATGTCCAGGCCCGTCTGAAGTTTGCCAATGACCATCTGGATGATACAGAGGAGGAATGGAAGAAGGTCATGTGGTCTGATGAGACAAAAATATAGCTTTTTGGTCTAAACTCCACTCGCCGTGTTTGGAGGAAGAAGAAGGATGAGTACAACCCCAAGAACACCATCCCAACCGTGAAGCATGGAGGTGGAAACATCATTCTTTGGGGATGCTTTTCTGCAAAGGGGACAGGACGACTGCACCGTATTGAGGGGAGGATGGATGGGGCCATGTATCGCGAGATCTTGGCAAACAACCTCCTTCCCTCAGTAAGAGCATTGAAGATGGGTCGTGGCTGGGTCTTCCAGCATGACAACGACCTGAAACACACAGCCAGGGCAACTAAGGAGTGGCTCCGTAAGAAGCATCTCAAGGTCCTGGAGTGGCCTAGCCAGTCTCCAGACCTGAACCCAATAGAAAATCTTTGGAGGGAGCTGATAGTCCGTATTGCCCAGCGACAGCCCCGAAACCTGAAGGATCTGGAGAAGGTCTGTATGGAGGAGTGGGACAAAATCCCTGCTGCAGTGTGTGCAAACCTGGTCAAGACCTACAGGAAACGTATGATCTCTGTAATTGCAAACAAAGGTTTCTGTACCAAATATTAAGTTCTGCTTTTCTGATGTATCAAATACTTATGTCATGCAATAAAATGCAAATTAATTACTTAAAAATCATACAATGTGATTTTCTGGATATTTGTTTTAGATTCCGTCTCTCACAGTTGAAGTGTACCTATGATAAAAATTACAGATCTCTACATGCTTTGTAAGTAGGAAAACCTGCAAAATCGGCAGTGTATCAAATACTTGTTCTCCCCACTGTATGTGTGTTTTCACTGCAGGCAAAATAACATTTGTAAGAGATCATAAACAATATCAATATATTTGAACAGTCCAGCTAAACATTTTTTTGTTTTCATCATGGTGATAGTTTGGCCAACTGAAAGCCGTTCACTGCAGGCTCTAGAGAGTTCAATCCCACATCATCAACTACAAAAAGAAAATCACCATCATCATCAACAAAAAGAAAATCACCATAATTATTTTAAAAAATAATCACAGAAATTAAATTGTCATCATCAACAAAAAAACATCATCATTATCAACACCAAAAAGAAAATCAACAAAATAATATTTATCAACCACCAAATGTATAATCACCATTATCAACAAACATCATCATCATAATCATTAGCATTCAAAACAAACAGAGTGCAGTACTTCAAAACATACTGTATACACCAAGCATACCTGAAGAGTATTAATGATGGTCACTGATTAGGAATTACACTTTATCCAAACTAATGTGTTCAAAGCAATGAAGTCATTTAACAAATCACTATTTGAAGGTGTGATCAATTAAAAACATTATCTTTTAAGTCTACTTAGTAATCATTCTTGTTGAAGTAAATTATTTAAAAGACCAATAAATGTGTAATACCTGTATATGAAACAACAAATGCATATTCTCCAAATAAAACATGGCATTAAGATGAAAATGTAACAGGTAAAATAAGAGAAACTAAATCCAAGCCAACCGTTTACTGCTACATGATGCAGTCTCTTCATAATATGTGATTAAGGCATATCAAGCCATAGGTTAGATGGCAAATGAGAGAAATATTATTATTATAATTTAAAAGAAATAAACAATGTCAGACTAACTCATTAGTTACCTGTCTATTGTGTTTATTTATCGACATTATCAAGTAAAACACTCTGAATCTGTTGGTTAACCTGTTGGTTTTCACGTTGACTTTTCTTGCCTTTTGTGTGATTTCTGAATCATCTTAAAATGCTTTAATTACATTGACATCATGATTTTTTTTATTTATTACTTGATTATAGTGTATTCCTTTACCATAAAACTCAAAGTGTTAGCTATTTCATTATGGAACATCAGATCTGTAAATTGCAAAGTTTTTATATAATTTATCAATGTATCCGTAATTATGACTTGTCGTGCTGCAGTTTTCCTTTTCAAAATTGCATTGGGTTTTGACAGATCTGTACATTATTTCACATATGTTGATTCTGTGATATATCCATGTCATGAAAGTTATTTCTGGTTGTCAAGTCTGACATCTTTGAATGGTTGTCATGTCGACAACTAGAGACTTTTTATAGCTAGTTTTATACTAGTCTTTCATGTTGAAGGAGCCCTTCAAGCTCTTCATTGCATCATCAAATGTTAATGCCTTCCAGTCCTCTGGGATATCAGCAGGGAGTGCATCTCTGTCTTTAGCGATTCTCTCATTGAATGTGGCCATCACATACTTCCAGTAGTCTGATGCCTTGATGCTGGAATCTCCAGTTATGACCCAGTCAGGGTAATATGTCTGGTAGTCCTTGTAGGGGTGAGGTTTGCCTTCAGTCAGGTTTGAGATGAAAATTATGTCACTAATCACAGAGGATGAACATATGTCAGTACTTAACACCCTTGTCCTTAAATTCCTCCAACCACTGACTCCTTGTGGACGGTGAATGCAGGTAAAGTGCTTCACAGGGTGCACTGCAAAAAGGACATACCTCTCCACAGCCAAACACACTGGTGAACATCTTGTCCTGAGGCTTGAATGGCAGAGATTTTAGTCTATTTTTGATGTCTCCTCCCTGAACGTACTCAGCTGCCAGTGACTGCTCCATTTCTCCCACAAACACTGTGAGGTAGTCAGCAAACTGTGCTATGTTAGCAGAGTAGTTTAGAGTCATGATGGAATCCAGAGCATCCTTTGGAAAAACAAGCTTTTCTTCAAGGGCACAGCAGATGTTCTGAATGAATGTCTTGATATCTTTTACAGTGCTAGTTGTGTTTCTGATGTTTGAAATTGCCACAGTGATTATCTTGACTATCTCTGAAAGAAGTTTATTCTCCAATTTCTCCAGACTGTTGTCCTTTGAGAGTTGTTGGACAATGTGGTCAAACAGCCAGTCCTTTACAAACCTTTCATAATGGTTAATGTACTCTTTATATTTCTGATATTCTCCATCAGTCAGGAGCTTTTTCAAAATGGAGAACTGGAAAGCACTTCGGGTGCTGTAAGCCTCTGACCCTTTACCGATCTTCACTTCATCAACCACATCAGGACCAATCATTTTGGTCACATAGACCTGGACAGCTGGCTGCAAACAGAGCTTTGTGAACTCCTCAGCTTTCTTTAGGCACTTGTCTCGGTTATGAAACAAGTCTCTGAACTCAGTAAGGTACTTGTTCTTAGACTTTTCCAGACAATTCCTTGGGTCATTGACTTCAATTAAATCATCATGCATCTTCTGAAACTCTCTGGCTGCTTTGCCACATATGTGTTGTTTGAGAGAAACCTCACATTCCTCACTGACTTTAACTTCTGTGTGTTGCAATGTTTTGTCAATTATTCTAAGCAGTTCTTTGATGTGAGTGTCATTGTAATCTGTTTTGCTTTTCACCCTCTGGGTTATAAACTCCTGACAGTGTTTTATGATGTCATCACAGAGGTCTTGTAGTTTCTTCCTGTGATGGTCGGGATCCCAGTGCTTTAGGAAGATATTAGTATGCTGCCACAAACTCTCTGATTCCAAAACAAAGGCTTTTCTCCCACAATCCACCAGACTGTTTCCAACCAACATCTTGTTGGCATGACTCCCCTTCATTAACAGATTATCACGTAACATGAGGAAGGCATCTTGAGCCACATCTCTTCTTGGGAGTCCTTTGAAGTGAATCTCAGACAGAGTGTTCCTCCACATGTTTTCAAACTCTTCACTGAGGGCCTCATCTGATAGACCAGATTTGTTCTGTCTACAGTACTGCAGCAGAGTCAAAACATGCTTTTCCATTGTACTTGTCTGAGAGCTCTTGATGTTGTTCCGTTCTGTCATTCCCTCTTTGGTTTCAACAGCTCCTTGCAGTTTGTTCTTCACTGTGTTTTCTGTCTCTCGTCTCAGTGTTTTAGCACTACACACAAAGTCCTCCTTGTATTTTTCCACCAGATTGACATGGCCATCTTGCTTTTTAAAGTATTTTACTAGATTGTCTTGGATTTCCTTTTCTCCCTCTGCAAGATTCTCAGATGCTTCTCTCATCAAGTCTTTTAGCACATCTCTTATGGACTTCTGGGGATTTTGATCTGTCATGCCAATATTGGATATTTTAGTTTCAGCACTCATCATCCATTTATACATCTCTTTCTGGAAGGCCCATTCCCAACCATTGTACTCCGAGCATAATCTGGAGTATGCATCCGCAATTAAGCTATTTCTGAAACTAAAGATTAATTTCTCAAATTTTACAGACTCCCACAACCTTTGTGTCAACTTCAGGAAATGTGTCAAATCATCATGTCTCTGACAGATTCTGAAATCTTTCATCAAGGTCTTCTTGAAGCTGTACACCGCCTCACTGTAGCCAGCATTGACTGGAGCCATAGGGGGAGTCCCATGCCAGAGTCCTGGGATGTAGCAGCTGCTTGTGTCTGGATCATAGTCCATCACGTCAGTGAACTTGGTGATATTCTCCTTCTTCTCCATTCTGGCTGCTGCCAGGGTCATTTCATCCAACTGTTCCAACAACTTCTTCCTGTCCCTCATGTTGTTGTCATGAGCAGACATGTCTGACACATTCTGATGCACAAAATGACATACTGGCTTCTTCCCCACTTCCTTCATCCTGATAAAAGAATGAACAACAATCTGTAGAATGTCTTTCATCTCTGTGGAGATCTCCATGGCGATGTTGATAATTGTAACATCACTGAGTCCAATCACCAGTGTGGCCAATTCATTGTCATGTTCATGGCTATCATCTAGTTGAGCCAGCTCTAGTGATTTCAATCCCTCTGTGTCAATGATCATGATGAAGTCACATTTCAGCTCCTCCTTGAGTTCTTTGTTGACTTTTATCAGTAGCATGAAGGCCCCTCTGGTGCATCTTCCACTGCTGACAGCAAACTGGACCCCAAACATGGTGTTGAGGAGAGTGGACTTCCCTATGCCTTGGACCCCTAAAACTGAGACCACCCGGATCTTGCTGTTGGATTGGACAAGAGTATGAAGCTGAGTCAGTACAGCTGATATCCATTTTAGAGGGATATTTGATGCATCTCCATCCACAAGCTCAATGGGGAAACCATCCAACAGCATCTGAGCACACAATCCAGGAAGATGCTCCATCTGTTTCCTTTGTAGGCTACTTTCAGGGAGGGAGCAGGAAGCTTCATATAACTGGCCCAACTCACGAAGAAAGTGTTCAAGACCTAATGAACAGTTAGATAATTGCTTATCCAAATCTTTAATGTCATCTTTTTTCTCCGGAGAATGTTGGCAAAGATCTTCGTACTGGTCCCGCAAAACAGACAGGTTCTGCAGTGACAGATTGTCCAGATTTATCCGCATCCATTTGAGGAAATAGGATCGCTCAGGTCCTGATTTTGACATTCCGAAAATGAAGCTTGCCATTGCATCTGACATTTCAAATTGATGTTGCTTCTTTCTCAACTCTTCCTCCTTTTTATTCAGAGAGCTCTTGTAGTGTTCAATGTCTGCATCCCCTGCTTTTCTCAGCCTACACCTCTCCTTTTCCAACTGGGAAAGCTCTTTCCAGATTTGGCCTTGTAAGGGTAGCTGTTCATCTTTGAATTTAATAGTGTCTGTGATGTTCCTGGTGATTTCATCTGCCATCATCCTGGCACTCTGACACTCACCGTCTTCATCAATCAGAATCCCAAACTGATGAGCCACGGCAGCCATGTTTTCAATTGTCAGTCTGTTTTTACTTTTTTTGATGATGTCACCCACAGTTGACTGCAGGGTTTTGACAAGTTCTGCATCATTCTGCTTCTTTTTCACAATCACATTTGTTTCTTTGATACTGTATTGTGTGATCAATTTCTTCAATGTGTCTACCTTGAATGTTTTTCTCTGAGAGTTGACAACCAGAAATAACTCTGCTTTTGTGCTTTTTCCTTCCAAAACCTTGAGATCTGCCTCGAAATCATCACTGAAAATGTAAACTGCAGCTGATGTTTGACACAGAAAGGAGAACTGTGTTTCAGAGGACCTGATGTCTCCTCTGAGATTGGCCACAGTGACAGGTTCTTTGAACATGTCTATGTTTCTGTTCCCACATGGAAAGTACCAGCTGATTTCAACTAGACCATCTGAAATCCTCTGAGGTACATCGCCACATTCCATATCATGATGAACAAATGTATCATGGTACTGTTGAGGGTTACTAAGCAACTTGTTCAAAATCTGAGACTTGGACAAGCTGCTCTCTCCTAGCCTAACAAAAGACACCATAGGAATATCAGAGAGAACTATTCTCTCCTCCACAAAAGCATTTGTGGCCGTTTGGGAAGAGGGTCTAAACTTCTTAACTATGTCCCTCAGGGCCCACAGCATCAAAGTGCTTTGTTTTGTGTCACAGTTTGGCAGCAGGAGAGGAACAGCAAACTGACACATTGACATTTTCTGGACCATCTCCTGCTGCAGGAAACCATCTGAGCACAGAAACAGGGCAGTTATCAGGTCCAGTGGATTAATGACATTGCTGCTATCAGAGTCAGTGTCCAGGTTGTCTACTCCATCATAGGGAACTTCCTGGTCAGTGGTCAGACATTTGACACTCCTAGCATTCACATTTGCCATCATTAATTTCTTAAGGAAGGCCCCTGGAAGTGACTGCATAGTGGTAAGTGGTTCATCTGATGTAGTATTAGGATTTATCTCAAGGACAGTACTTAACATCAGCTTGTTTTCATAATGATCTTCTAGTCCAATCTTTGACAACAGCTCCATGAGACAGGGTTCTGTAAATAGAAAGGAAGATCAGGAAATAGGAAAGATCCAGGGAAATCACCATCATATATTTCTTATCAGTGAAGATACTGTACCTTTATATCCCATGCTGACACATGCTTTATGATTACCGTATTTTCCGCACTATAAGGCGCACCGGAGTATAAGCAGCAGCAGCTAAATTGAATGATATTGAATGACGCGTACATATATAAGCCGCACTGAACTATAAGCCGCAGGTGTTTTAATGTTTAATCACCATATGTAAGGGTTCGTGCACAGAGGGGATTGTCGGGAAAGAGACAAACTGTCTCGCTCTCGTAATGTCTGTCTGTCTTGCTCTCGTTCTGTCTCTCGTACCACTCTCGGTTCCACTTTTACTTTTGCGCGCTACCTGTCTCACTCTTTTCCGGCCTCCAGCTTTTCCTGCTGGAGCCCGCCGCTTAAAGGTGGGGGGCGCGGACCGGTCATAGAGCCCATAGAGTTAAATTTGGTGGACTGTAACCTGTAAAATCCATAGAATTAGGAGGTCTTCTATTGGCCGTTAGCTGTAAAAATCCATAGATTAGCCGCACCGTTATATAAGCCGCAGGGTCGAAAAATATGAAAAAAGGCGCGGTTTATAGTCCGAAAATTACGGTAGTTCATAGAGTCATTTTGATAACTACTGGTGGCCAACGTTAGCTAGGGATGTGAGGGTTTATGTCTCCTCTGCTCGGTGTGCGCCCAGTGTAAGGCGCCTAGACATTTGCCCATGGTCGTTCCACAAAGACCATGGTCCCACCTCTCGGTGGATTTTGTTGACTGACCTTCCCCCCTCCAGGGGAATACCACTATTTTGGTCGTGTGGATCAGTTTTCTAAGGCCTGTCGTCTCCTCCCAATGCCGGGTCTCCCTACAGACCGGCTGAGGCCCTATTTACCCACGTTTTCCGGCACTATGGGTGCCGAGGATATAGTGTCTGACCGAGGTCCCCATTCACCTCCAGAGTCTGGGGGGCGTTCATGGAACGCTTGGGGGTCCGGTGAGCCTTACCTCGGGTTACCACCCAGAGAGCAATGGCAGGTAGAACGAGTCAACCAGGATGTGGGTAGGTTTCTGAGGTCCTATTGCCAGGGCCGGCCGGAGGAGTGGTCTAGGTATTCCCCTGGGCAGAGAGGCACAGAATCTCTCCGCCACTCCTCCACTAATCTACCCCTTTCCAGTGTGTGTTGGGGTATCAGCCGGTCCTGGCACCATGGCACGAGAGCCAGATCGAGGCCCCTGCGGTGACGAATGGATTCGGCGCCGGAGGAGATGTGGAACGCTGCTCATGTCCATCTGCAGCGGGCCATCCGTCGACAGAAGGCGAGCGCCGATCGCCACCGCAGTGAGGGTCCGGTGTACGCACCGGGAGATCGGTCTGGCTCTCGACTCGAAACCTGCCCCTCTGCCTGCCCTGCCGGAAGCTGGGTCGGCGGTTTGTGGGGCCTTTAATGTCCTGAGGAGATTGAACGAGGTGTGTTACAGGTACAACTGCCTATTGATTATAAGAATATTAACCTCGTTCCATGTGTCTCTTCTCAGGCCGGTGGTAGCTGGTCCACTCCAAGAAGTGAGATAGGAGAGACCCCTCCCCCCCTCTGGACATCGAGGGAGCTCCGGCGTACCGGTCAGGACCATCTTGGACTCGAGACGTCGGATGGGGGTCTCCAGTATCTCGTGGAGTGGGAGGGTACAGTCCGGAGGAACGGTGCTGGGTGCCTAGGAGGGATATCCTAGATCCATCTCTCCTGATGAGTTCCACCGTGGTCATCCCACCGCCCGCTCCGCGTCCTCTGGTCGTCCCGAGGCCGGGATCGGCGCACGGTGGAGCCGCGCGTCAAGGGGGGTACTGTCACGGATCTGCCGAGGCTGCTCCTCCTCCTGCTCGGGCAGGCTTCGGCGTTCGCCGTCCCCGGAGTACTAGCTGCACCGTTAGATGTTTCAGTGTTTGATTGCTTTTGTCTGTCTATTGCACTGTGTTTTGTGTTGATTATGTGTCTATAAGTTGCCTGTTTGTGTGGTTAGTTTGTGTGTTGTTATTCGCCTGTCCGTTAGTGCTGCGTGTTTTCTCTGTTGTGTTTTTGTAGTTACGCAGAGTTTGCGTAATCGCTCGCCTCTGGTTTAGTTGAGGCCGTTCATTGTATTGTGCCTTGTGTTGCACTAGTAAACTTTGTTGGACTAAGCTTCGGTGTCCTGCGCCTGACTCCCACACCACATTCACCTCAGCCATTGACACAAGCGTCTCGTAGGAGTGACGCCATCTGACATAAGACAATGGGGTCAATGCAAACCTGCCTACTGTTGCAAAAAAAATTTGTGATCTCCACCGTGCCGTAGTAGGCCAGCCTAGGGAATGAACATGAAACTAATAATTCACCTTGGAAACCTGTAAACACTCAGAATTCTATTAATTCATAGACCAGCGCAGTGCGGCTACTACAAACACAAACAAAACATGGAGGAGTCCATAATTCATTTAACATTGGGGAGACATGGATTTAAAAGTATGGGGGAACAGGATATGGGAGGGGGAGGAAATCCAAAAAACCAACCGGCACGCACAGGTGGAGATAAAGGGTTATGTATGTAACCACGGCTACAGTGGCTTGTGAAAGTATTCACCCGCCTTGGCATTTTTCCTATTTTGTTGCCTTACAACCTGGAATTAATAAATAAAAAATTTGGGGGGGGGGTTGTATCATTTGATTTACACAACATGCCTATCACTTTGAAGATGCAATATATTTTTTCTTGTGAAACAAAAAACTTGAGCGTGCATAACTATTCACCCCCCCCCACATACCACAGATTCCCAACTGGATTGAGGTCTGTGCTTTGACTAGGCCAGTCCAAGACATTTAAATGTTTCCCCTTAAACCACTTGAGTGTTGCTTTAGCAGTGTGCTTAGGGTAATTGTCCTGCTGGAAGGTGAACCTCTGTCCCAGTCTCAAATCTCTGGAAGACTGAAACAGGTTTCCCTCAAGTATTTCCCTGTATTTAGTGCCATCCATCATTCCTTCAATTCTGACCAGTTTCCCAGTCCCTGCCGATCAAAAACATCCCCACAGCATGATGCTGCCTCCACCATGCTTCACTGTGGTGGTGGTGTTCTCGGGGTGATGAGAGGTGTTGGGTTTGCCCCAGACATAGCGTTTTCCTTGATGGCCATAAAGCTCAATTTTAGTCTAATCTGAACAGAGTACCTTCTGCCAAATGTTTGGGGAGTCTCCCACATGCATTTTTTTCTTCAAGCAATGGCTTATTTCTGGCCACTCTACCGTAAAGCCCAGCTCTGTGGAGTGTACGGCTTAAAGTGGTCCTATGGACAGATACTCCAATCTCCGCTGTGGAGTTTTGCAGCTCCTTCAGGGTTATCTTTGGTCTCTTTGTTGCCTCTCTGATTAATGCCCTCCTTGCCTGGTCCGTGAGTTTTGGTGGGCGGACCCCTCTTGGCAGGTTTGTTGTGGTGCCATATTCTTTCCATTTTAAAATAATATATATAATGGTGCTCCATGGGATGTTCAAAGTTTCTGATATTTTTTCATAACCTAACCCTGATCTGTACTTCTCCACAACTTTGTCCTTGACCTGTTTGGATAGCTCCTTGGTCTTCATGGTGCTGCTTGCTTGGTGGTGCCCCTTGCTTAGTGGTGTTGCAGACTCTGGGGCCTTTCAGAACAGGTGTATATATACTGAGATCATGTGACAGATCATTTGACACTTAGAATGCACACAGGTGGACTTTATTTAACTAATTATGTGACTTCTGAAGGTAATTGGTTGCACCAGATCTTATTTAGCGGCTTCATAGCAAAGGGGGTGAAAACTTATGCACGCACCACTTTTCCGTTATTTATTTTTTAGCATTTTTTGAAACAAGTTATTTTTTTCATTTCACTTCACCAATTTCATTTCATTTCACCAGTATGTCCATTACATGAAATCCAAATAAAAATCCATTTAAATTACAGGTTGTAATGCAACGAAATAGGAAAAACGCCAAGGGGGATTAATACTTTTTCAAGGCACTGTATGTCTGTTGTCAAACTGACTAGTTGTCAAAATCACTGTAATGTACATTAAATAATCATAATGGATTTGTCAGCATGCAATGTAAAGGTACAGTATCTTCCCTGATGAGATATACATGATGGTGAATTCCCCAGATCTCATCGTGCTGTTAAGTGCTGAAATCAATCAAATGTATTTTTTATCATATTTGAATTCATGCTTTCCTCCATTCCTGTTAATCATTATGTCAAGGAGTTGATCTGCCTCTGCTTGCTTAAAACTGGTCCATGCATATGTATTCACCCCCTTTGCTATGAAGCCCCTAAATAAAGATCTGGTACAACCAATTACCTTCAGAAGTCACATAATTAGTTAAATAAAGTCCTCCTGTGTGCAATCTAAGTGTCACATGATCTCAGTATATATACACACCTGTTCTGAAAGGCCCAAGAGTCTGCAACACCACTAAGCAAGGGGCACAACCAAGTAAGCGGCACCATGAAGACCAAGGAGCTCTCCAAACAGGTCAGGGACAAAGTTGTGGAGAAGTACAGATCAGGGTTGGGTTATAAAAAAATATCCAAAACTTTGAACATCCCACGGAGCACCATTAAATTCATTATTAAAAATGGAAAGAATATGGCACTACAACAAACCTGCCAAGAGAGGGCCGCCCACCAAAACTCACGGACCAGGCAAGGAGGGCATTCCTCAGAAAGGCAACAGAGACCAAAGATAACCCTGAAGGAGCTGCGAAGCTCCACAGCGGAGATTAGAGTATCTGTCCATAGGACCACTTTAAGCCGTACACTCCACAGAGCTGGGCTTTACGGAAGAGTGGCCAGAAAAAAGCCATTGCTTAAAGAAAAAAATAAGCAACCACGCTTGGTTTTCGCCAAAAGGCATGTGGGAGACTCCCCAAACATATGGAAGAAGGTACTCTGGTCTGATGAGACTAAAGTTGAGCTTTTTGGCCATCAAGGAAAATGTCTGGCGCAAACCCAACACCTCTCATCACCCCGAGAACACAATCCCCACAGTGAAGCATGGTGGTGGCAGCATGTGGGGATGTTTTTCATCGGCAGGGACTGGGAAACTGGTCAGAATTGAAGGAATGATGGATGGCGCTAAATACAGGGAAATTCTTGAGAGAAACCTGTTTCGGTCTTCCATAGATTTGAGACTGGGACAGAGGTTCACCTTCCAGTGGGACAATGACCCTAAGCATACTGCTAAAGCAACACTCGAGTGGTTTAAGTGGAAACATTTAAATGTCTTGGAATGGCCTAGTCAAAGCACAGACCTCAATCCAATTGAGAATCTGTGGTATGATTTAAAGATTGCTGTACACCAGTGGAACCCATCCAACTTGAAGGAGCTGGAGCAGTTTTGCCTTGAAGAATGGGCAAAAATCCCAGTGGCTAGATGTGCCAAGCTTATAGAGACATACCCCAAGAGACTTGCAGCTGTAATTGCTGCAAAAGGTGCCTCTACAAAGTATTGACTTTGGGGGGGGTGGGGGGGGGGTGAATAGTTATGCACGCTCAAGTTCTGTTTTTTTGTCTTATTTCTTGTTTGTTTCACAATAAAAAATATTTTGCATCTTCAAAGTGGTAGGCATGTTGTTTAAATCAAATGATACAAACCCCCCAAAAAATTGATTTTAATTCCAGGTTGTAAGGCAACAAAATAGGAAAAATGCCAAGGGGGGTGAATACTTTCGCAAGCCACTGTAATACTTTAGTAGGGTACTTACCTGTGGTGAGGGTTGTTAACACCAGTTGACTTTTCTTTCCATTTTCCAACTCAGTGCAGACAGTGACAGAGTATTCAGTAGCAGGTTGCAGGTCAGAGAGAGTGATGCTGTGTGAAGATGTGGTAGTGATGTGTGGTTCTGTCCCTGGACAGTGGTAGGAGATCTGGTAATGATGTTGGGTTTGGTCTAATCCTGGTGGCTGGCTCCAGCTAACAGCAGCTGATGTGGTGTCCACTGAGTCAACATGAATCTGGTCTGGAGCAGGAAGTACTAAGGGAAAATACATTATTGTCAGGGCTAAAGTTTAACTCCAGAAATATATTACAGGAGAAAATGTAGAATAAGGCCAGGGATAAACATGTCTTTGCAATCACTTATAATGTGGGAAGGAATAAGCTAAAAACAGAAGTCACAATAGAAGTTGATTTGTAATATAGCAAAATGTCTGTTCTGGTAGAGATGATGATCTGTAATAAGGTGAGGAGATCTCTTACTAGTGCAGATGGTTGTAAAGACAGGTTCACTCTCTTCCCCATTCTTCAGTACAGTTGAGACGCTGACGGTGTACTCAGTACCAGGTTGCAGGTTTGAGAATGTTTTGTGGCAGTCTTTAGTATTCTCTGCATGGAGGTCTGTTCCTGGGCTGCAGTAGGATATGAGGAAGCGTTGTGGGACTTTTTCCATTCCTTCAGCCTTGGACCAGTGGAGAGTGAAGGAGGTATGGTTCAAATGGTCTACCTTTAAGTCTCTGGGTGGAACCACTGGAACAAAAATCAAGATTTGTTGTAAGAAGATCTTCCTTGACTGATGAGTCCATAACAATATCGCTCTTAAAACACAACAAAGTATGTCAGTAAAACATGACTAAAACCAAACTCTGTACCTGTGGATAGGGATGCTGAGACACATCTGCTTTGTCTGCCATCTTCTCCCTCTGTGGCCACACTGAACTGGTACTTTTCACCAGGTTGGAGACTGCTTATTTTAAGATGATACCCGCCTTTCACTTTTGATGAGTCCGTTTCCCCCAGGTCACACCCCCAGGTCACTCTGAACATGTGTGGTGCCTTCAGCCCCTCAGGAGAACCCCAGCTCAGAGACACGGAGTCTGATCTCACTGACAGGACCTGGATCTTCCCAGGAGGGGGCAGCACTGGAGAGAAAAAACTGACTTAATTGGAACCACAAATGCATACTAATTTACTTATATCAGAATAGGAGTAACAAATTATATCTTAAATACTTTTTTACAAACGTTATGTACATCATTGTTCACAAGTTATGAGCTATCACTAAAGATCTCAAATAACAACTTTTGGGTTAATTCATTATTGATTGTACATGCACTTACCGTCGACTGACTCTGGCCTTTGGTGTTGCTCTCCATCAAAAGTCTTCAGCAGTGGAAACAGAGTAAGAAACAATCTTTTCATTGAAAAAACTAAAGGTTTATGTTGCAAAACAAGCAATGACAAAGCTTGTAGCATGAACTTGAATTAACAGTATTAGCAAATCTACATTGCCAATAGTACAGTTGAAGTCAGAAGTTTACATACACCTTCGCCAAATACATTTAAACTCAGTTTTTCACAATTCCTGACATTTAATCCAAGTAAGAATTCCCTATCTTAGGTCAGTTAGGATCACCACTTTATTTCAAGAATGTGAAATGTCAGAATAATAGTAGAGAGAATTATTTATTTCAGCTTTTATTTATTTCATCACATTCCCAGTGGGTCAGAAGTTTACATACACTCAATTAGTATTTGGTAGCATTGCCTTTAAATTGTTTAACTTAGGTCAAACATTTCGGGTGGCCTTCCACAAGCTTTCCACAATAAGTTCGGTGAATTTTGGCCCATTCCTCCTGACAGAGCTGGTGTAACTGAGTCAGGTTTGTAGGCCTCCTTGCTCGCACACGCTTTTTCAGTTCTGCCCACAAATGTTCTATAGGATTGAGGTCAGGGCTTTGTGATGGCCACTCCAATACCTTGACTTTGTTGTCCTTAAGCCATTTTGCCACAACTTTGGAAGTATGCTTGGGGTCATTGTCCATTTGGAAAACCCATTTGCGACCAAGCTTTAACTTGCTGAATGATGTCTTAAAAGTGTTGCTTCAATATATCCACATAATTGTCCTTCCTCATGATGCCATCTATTTTGTGAAGTGCACCAGTCCCTCCTGCAGCAAAGCATCCCCACAGCATGATGCTGCCACCCCTGTGCTTCACGGTTGGGATAGTGTTCTTCGGCTTGCAAGCACCCCCTTTTTCCTCCAAACATAACGATGGTCATTATGGCCAAACAGTTCTATTTTTGTTTCATCAGACCAGAGGACATTTCTCAAAAAAGTACGATCTTTGTCCCCATGTGCAGTTGCAAACCGTAGTCTGGCTTTTTAATGGCGGTTTTAGAGCAGTGGCTTCTTCCTTGCTGAGCGGCCTTTCAGGTTATGTCAATATAGGACCCGTTTTACTGTGGATATAGATACTTTTGTACCTGTTTCCTCCAGCATCTTCACAAGGTCCTTTGCTGTTGTTCTGGGATTGATTTGCACTTTTCGCACCAAAGTACGTTCATCTCTAGGAGACAGAACGCGTCTCCTTCCTGAGCGGTATGACGGCTGCGTGGTCCCATAGTGTTTTTACTTGCGTACTATTGTTTGTACAGATGAACGTGTTACGTTCAGGCGTTTGGAAATTGCTCCCAAGGATGATCCAGACTTGTGGAGGTCTACAATTTTTTTTCTGAGGTCTTGGCTGATTTCTTTTGATTTTCCCATGATGTCAAGCAAAGAGGCACTGAGTTTGAAGGTAGGCCTTGAAATACATCCACAGGTACACCTCCAATTGAATCAAATTATGTCAATTAGTCTATCAGAAGCGTCTAAAGCCATGACATCATTTTCTGGAAATTTCCAAGCTGTTTAAAGGCACAGTCAACTTAGTGTATGTAAACTTCTGACCCACTGGAATTGTGATACAGTGAATTATAAGTGAAATAATCTGTCTGTAAACAATTGTTGGAAAAGTTACATGTGTCATGCACAAAGTAGATGTCCTAACCGACTTGCCAAAACTATAGTTTGTTAACAAGACATTTGTGGAGTGATTGAAAAAACGAGTTTTAATGACTCCAACCTAAGTGTATGTAAACTTCAGACTTCAACTGTATGTGGACACCTGCTCGTCGAACATCTCATTCCAAAATCATGTTAATAAATGTGAACGGGGGCATTGTCAAGCTGAAACAGGAAATGGCCTTCCCCAAACTGTTGCCACAAAGTTGGATGCACAGAATCGTCTAGAATGTCATTGTATGCTGTAGCGTTAAGATTTCCCTTCACTGGAACTAAGGGGCCTAGCCCGAACCATGAAAAACAGCCCCAGGCCATTATTCCTCCTCCACAAAACTTTACAGTTGGCACTATGCATTCGGGCAGGTAGTGTTCTCCTGGCATCCCCAAACCCAGATTCATCTGTTGGACTGCAAGATGGTGAAGCGTGATTCATCACTCCAGAGAACGTGTTTCCACTGTTCCAGAGTCCAATGGCGGCGAGCTTTACACCACTCCAGCCGACGCTTGAAATTGCGCATGGTGATCTTAGGCTTGTGTGCGGCTGCTCTGCCATGGAAACTCATTTCATGAAGCTCCCGACGAACAGTTCTTGTGCTGGCGTTGCTTCCAGAGTCAGTTTGGAACTCGGTAGTGAGTGTTGCAACTGAGGACAGACGACTTTTACGCTCTAGGCGCTTCAGCACTCAGTGGTCCCGTTCTGTAAGCTTGTGTGGCCTACCGCTTCGCGGTTGAGTCATTGTTGCTCCTAGACGTTTCCACTTCACAATAACAGCACTTACAGTTGACCGGGGCAGCTCTAGAAAGGCCGAAATTTGATGAACTGACTTGTTGGAAAGGTGGCATCCTATGACGGTGTAACGTTGAAAGTCACTGAGCTCTTCAGTAAGGCCATTCTACTGTCAATGTTTGTCTATGGAGATTGCATGGCGGTGTGCTCGATTTTATACACCTGTCAGCAACGGGTGTGGCTGAAATAGCCGAATACACTAATTTGAAGGGGTGTCCACATACTTTTGGCCATGTATATTCAGTGTATACTCAGGTATAATGAGGGGGGGAATCAACTACCTGTCTTCCTGTTTGTTTTATCTCTTCAATGATCAGGTCATGACCTTTGTGCTTTGTCACGGAACACTCAGCAACATGTCTTCCATGAAATCATCAATATGAAATAGTTTTCAGAACAAGTGGTATTTTATGGAGAAACAAACATTTTGTATAGTGGGATGCAAAAAAATGTGCACTACTTTGTATTGGACAATGATGACAACAGAGGAAAGTCAGCATGTTTTCTGATAAAGGGGAGAAGAAAGCATAAACTATACCTGTCTTCCTGCTTGTTTTATCTCTTCATAGACTACATCATGTCCTTTGTGTTCTGTAACTACACACAGACTGCAGATCAGCTTCTGGTCTGTCCTGCAGAACACCTCCAGAGCTCTGTGGTGCACCTGACAGAGTCTCTCCTCCAGGTCTCCAGTCACCTCCACCAGGGTGTGTCTCTGTAGTTTAGGTACTGTGTAGTGATTCCTAACGTGGGTCTCACAGTAGGAGATAGTGCAGGTCAGACAGAACTTCACAGCTTTGACCTCAGAGCAGATATCACAGGGTACCTCTCCTGGCCTGGAGAGTAAGATTTAATACATTTTAGTCATTTAGCAGACACTCTTATCCAGAGCGACTTACAGTTAGTGAGTGCATACATTTTCATACTGGCCCCCCGTGGGAAACGAACCCACAACCCTGGCGTTGCAAGCACCATGCTCTACCAACTGAGCTACACAGAGCCACATTTATCAAATACATTGATCAAAAGAACATGACCCATTCAGGTTAACACATAATGGCCTGATAATATAACACATGGTAACCTACCTATAACTATCTGTTATCATGGTAACCTACCTATAACTATCTGTTATCATGGTAACCTACTCATCATATCATTATGTGCAATTCTGTCTCACCTTAAGTCACAAATAATTAAGAAAATGTTATTATTATGACATAGGCTCAAAGGAGTATGTAAAATATTACCCTTTGAAACGAAAAGGGAGTTCCATGGATTGGTCACTCTTCATTGATAAATAACCAGAGGAAACAGACTCAGCTATCTCTGGATGGACACTGCAAATAATACAAGACAGACATGCACCTTTAGTAAATACTCAAATCACATGCAGCATTATAGAAGTGAACTACCTTTGTACTTGGTTTGTCCTCAGTCATTTACGCTTACCAAATCTTTCATATTTTCTGTTAAATGTACTATGCAGTAACTCAGTATCCTTCTAAAAATGCATTACTTTTAAATAGGATACAGATCTAAAAGTCTTCAACGAGCAGTTGTGTGCGCACACACACACACACACCTCTTCATATCAAGGCCCATGGTCTCATCAAGATCCTTGTTTGGTGACCCATCCTTCTGTCTTTCTTTAGGGATGGCTCCACCCTCAGCCCCCTGATGATAACTCATTATAACTCTCAGAGAGGAGGCCTCACAATCCTGAAGAAGACTGGTCTGGTCCCATATCAATCTGTAAATAAGAAGAGTAAATACCATTATATTAAAACGTTTAAACACAAAAGCAGAGTAGGCCTATTGTTGGCCTGCTGTTTTGGGGATTTAAATTGACATTATAATGTCATTCTGTAATGCATTTTGTGCCTAATTTAATTGTGAAAATACAACAGCCTAAACACATAGTGATAAATGCATTGGTAAAAATCACAATACACCGTAAACTCCTCTTGTTGTATCATCGTATCCTCCTGAGACCCAGCAATTCATTTTTGTCCTTTCTAATGAACTTTCATTTTTTGGTCGATATCTCTAAGACCATACATTGCATGCCACTGTGTATTTGTATTTGTATTTATTACGGATCCCCAATAGCGGCTGCCAAGGCAGCAGCTACTCTTCCTGGGGTCCACTCACAATTTACATACAATAAAACAATACATAACACAACACATTATTACACACTACTCTACCATAACATATTTACAATACAAAATCAATAATACAGCAAAATAACAACATTAAAATGTGTGTGTGTAGAGGGTGTGTGTTAGCATGTGTTTACGAATGCTGTGTGTGTGCCTGTGTGTGTGTGTGTGTGTCTCTTCACAGTCTGCGCTGTTCCATAAAGTGTAGGTCTATCTGTTTTTTTAATCTGATTTTACTGCTTGACTGAGTTACATGATGTGGAATTGAGTTCCATGTGGTCATGGCTCTATGTAGTACTGTGTGTTTCCCGTAGCCTATTCTGGACTTGGGGACTGTGAAGAGACCTCTGGTGGCATGTCTCGCGGGGTATGCATGGGTGTCCGAGCTGTGTGCCAGCATTCCAAACAGACAGCTCGGTACATTCAGCTTGTCTACACCTCTTAAAAAAACAAGCAGTGATGAAGTCAATCGCTCTTCCACTCTAAGCCAGGAGAGAATAACATGCATGTCATTAATGTTAGCTCTCCGTGTACTTTTAAGGGCCAGCCGTTCTGCCCTGTTCTGAGCCAACTGCAATTTTCCCAAGTCCCTTCTTGTGGCACCTGACCACACCACTGAACAGTAGTCTAGGTGCGACAAAACTAGGGCATGTAGGACCTGCCTTGTTGATAGTGTTGTTAAGAAGGCAGAGCAGCGCCTAATTATGGACATACTTCTCCCCATCTTAGCTACTGTTGTATCAATATGCTTTGACCATGACAGTTTACAATCCAGGGTTACTCCAAGCAGTTTAGTCACCCCAACTTGCTCAGTTTCCACATTATTCATTGTGTTAGGTCCTGTTGTACCTTTGAGAGACATTCTGGGCTCAGTGACCAATGTGGGGGTGTCACCGTGATACTTTTTTCTTTCTGGTTCTTTCAAATGGCTATCATCACAATTATCATCACACTTAGGTCATTTTATGGTAAGTGTGCGTAATTGTGTCATTATAATTTTTCTAATTGTTTCTAATAGGTAAATATCTCAGGAATAGTTTGACGAGTTTTCAGAAAAGTGCAACCATTTTTTCACATTAAATAACAGCTAAATAGTCAGGATGTGCTAACTATGTTGTTTAGTGTCCCCATTTACTGTAATGTTTAATATTTACTACCAACCGAGTCCTAATGGCCACTACAGTGCACATACAATGAAAAATAAATACAAATATTTGTTCACATTTTGCTCTTTATAGGGTAACATGGGGTAAGAGGGATTATTAGAATGTAGGTCGGGTGTCTGATTTCGAAAGCATTGTGGAGATACATAGATAGCCTACATTGTTATTCACTAGCCATGTAGCTCAACTAATGCAGGAGTAAAATATGGAATGGAATGGTGACTGCATCAGTTAACAGTATAAAGAAACCATGGACTGGATTACAGTAATGTTCACTATTAGACTACACTGCAGTAGTTATCAGTATAATGAAACCATGGACTGGACTTCAGTAATGTTCACTATTAGACTACACTACAGTAGTTAACAGTATAATGAAAACATGGACTGGACTAACAGTAATGTTCACTAGTAGACTACACTACAGTAGTTAACAGTATAATGAAAACATGGACTGGACTAAAGTAATGTTCACTAGTAGACTAAACTACAGTAGTAATCAGTATAATGAAACCATGGACTGGACTAAAGTAATGTTCACTAGTAGACTACACTACAGTAGTTATCAGTATAATGAAAACATGGACTGGACTACAGTAATGTTCACTAGTAGACTACACTACAGTAGTTATCAGTATAATGAAAACATGGACTGGACTACAGTAATGTTCACTAGTAGACTACACTACAGCAGTTATTAGTATAATGAAAACATGGACTGGACTACAGTAATGTTCACTAGTAGACTACACTACAGTAGTTATCAGTATAATGAAACCATGGACTGGACTAAAGTAATGTTCACTAGTAGACTACAGTACAGTAGTTATCAGTATAATGAAAACATGGACTGGACTACAGTAATGTTCACTAGTAGACTACACTACAGTAGTTATCAGTATAATGAAAACATAGACTGGACTAAAGTAATGTTCACTAGTAGACTAAACTACAGTAGTAATCAGTATAATGAAACCATGGACTGGACTAAAGTAATGTTCACTAGTAGACTACACTACAGTAGTTAACAGTGTAATGAAACCATGGACTGGACTAAAGTAATGTTCACTAGTAGACTACACTACAGTAGTTATCAGTATAATGAAAACATGGACTGGACTACAGTAATATTCACTAGTAGACTACACTACAGTAGTTATCAGTATAATGAAAACATGGACTGGACAACAGTAATGTTCACTAGTAGACTACACTACAGTAGTTATCAGTATAAGGAAAACATGGACTGGATTACAGTAATGTTCACTATTAGACTACACTACAGTAGTTAACAGTATAATGAAAACATGGACTGGACTAACAGTAATGTTCACTAGTAGACTACACTACAGTAGTTAACAGTATAATGAAAACATGGACTGGACTAACAGTAATGTTCACTAGTAGACTACACTACAGTAGTTAACAGTATAATGAAAACATGGACTGGACTACAGTAATGTTCACTATTAGACTACACTACAGTAGTTAACAGTATAATGAAAACATGGACTGGACTGCCAGTAATGTTCACTAGTAGACTACACTACAGTAGTTAACAGTATAATGAAAACATGGACTGGACTAAAGTAATGTTCACTAGTAGACTAAACTACAGTAGTAATCAGTATAATGAAACCATGGACTGGACTAAAGTAATGTTCACTAGTAGACTACACTACAGTAGTTATCAGTATAATGAAAACATGGACTGGACTACAGTAATGTTCACTAGTAGACTACACTACAGTAGTTATCAGTATAATGAAAACATGGACTGGACTACAGTAATGTTCACTAGTAGACTACACTACAGCAGTTATTAGTATAATGAAAACATGGACTGGACTACAGTAATGTTCACTAGTAGACTACACTACAGTAGTTATCAGTATAATGAAACCATGGACTGGACTAAAGTAATGTTCACTAGTAGACTACAGTACAGTAGTTATCAGTATAATGAAAACATGGACTGGACTACAGTAATGTTCACTAGTAGACTACACTACAGTAGTTATCAGTATAATGAAAACATAGACTGGACTAAAGTAATGTTCACTAGTAGACTAAACTACAGTAGTAATCAGTATAATGAAACCATGGACTGGACTAAAGTAATGTTCACTAGTAGACTACACTACAGTAGTTAACAGTGTAATGAAACCATGGACTGGACTACAGTAATGTTCACTAGTAGGCTACACTACAGTAGTTATCAGTATAATGAAACCATGGACTGGACTACAGTAATGTTCACTAGTAGGCTACACTACAGTAGTTATCAGTATAATGAAAACATGGACTGGACTAAAGGAATGTTCACTAGTAGGCTACACTACACACATAAATAAGAGTGTCTTAACAAATCATGGTATCTGTCCAGCACTGCCTCAATACTCTCATAATATATTGCTGATGGCTGCTGTATTAGGCTAGTGTGATAAATCAGTTGATTTAGGATAGACTACATGTAAAGGTGCACCATCATCATGTGATTTAGTTGATCCTTTTCTTGTCAGTCATTTCTAATGAAATTATAGTCACCAATTGTAGAGTTGAGTTTGTTTCACACAGTTTATAGACTATAGTATACAGCACTCCACCATTTTAGGCCATTTATCTGACGGAGAACAGAGATTCATTAACCTCACAAGTAGCTAGTAACACCTGACCCATTTAATCGAGAGAAAGATGCCGTTCCAGGTTGTCTTTTTCTGCAGTTGCACTACGAACATTAGATCTCACAACCAATGTTCCCTCTAATTATTTCGGCACTGAGCAATTTTCAGGTCTGCTGAGTGCAAACTTGAACGTTGTGAAAATTCTGTGCAACTTCCGGTGTGCGTTTACTGGGAACACTGAGGATGAACCCGCTTTAAGTTACAGTTTTAACAGTGGCCAAGTAGGCTACTATGGCTATTTGATCATCATGTAGACCTACCAGAGTGGCCTACCATCAAAAACAATGGAGAAAATGCATCCCATAACATTTTAACATGGATATAGCTGTTCTATCATTCAGCCTACATTCCATGAGACTTTTGCACACAAAAAAATACATGCAGGGCTTGACATTAACCTGTTTATCCACTTGTCATTCGGACAAGGAGGTGACTGAAAATGTTGTTGTTGTTTGATGCAAAAAAACAATTTACAAAATAAAAAGCATTATTATTCTCATACCATTATTACAGAAAATCAGACAAATTATGCTACACTCTGCTTAGGGGTTGGGTTAAATGCAGAAGACACATTTTAGTTGAATGCATTCAATGTACAACTGACTAGGTATCCCTCTTTCCCTTTCCTATTGGCTACTTCTCAAAAAACAACACTGCCCCTTTAAGACAAAAAAAATCTC